AAAACTAGAAAGCTACTATAGTAAATATTCACATGCCTTCAGATTTACGTCAAAACCTTCAAATAAAGGTTTGCCTAAACCTATGTCTTTACATTGGAGCGGACACAAAACGTAGACGCAAACCTACATCTCCACTTCGAAACGGACAAATAAACATGAACAGAAACCTCCAGCTCTACGCCAGAATGGACAAATAAACGAACACATAAACCGTCAGCTTTACACGGCAACGGGCAAATAAAGTGTAACGTATACCCGTCCTTTCTGACACTAGCAGGTCTTGTATACACATGTATCCCGGGCCTTTGCCGTGCCTGGATCATGCAAGTTCTGTCAGGAATCCGAAGACTTCGACTTCGAGCTAGCGTACGTTCGTGAGGTCACAACCCAGGTACTCACAGCGGTACGGTATCATAAACTCTGGTGCAAAAATTTAGTATTTGACCTACTTTGGTTTTGTTCAACGGTTTCCGTGGTTTGGTGGTTATGCGCTTTCGCTTTTGCACGCGTGAGACCCGAGTTTGATACCTGCACGCAAGGGACACGAGTTTGATTCCCAAGTTGAAAGAAAATTTGTTTCGAGTATCTCGGTCTTTCTACTGGGTCGCCACATCCCCCTCAGCCTGGGTTGGCCTTGACAGGCAGGGTTGGAAGACTACCTCCTAAATTAGCTATCTTGTTTCGATGAAAGCGTACAAATAGGCTACCTATATTAAAATTTGGTTTATGTTCAGGGTGAGTTACTTTCACAATATGTATTCCTACAATCATTATCGATAACGAAAAGAAAGCGTACATCATCCCAGATTCTCGAAGTCTTGGTTTCATTTTCAACAAAATTCTACACTGCATGCCCCCCCCCCTCTTCTCTTTCAGTTGTTATACCTTTCAAATAGATTCCTTGAAGATTGTCAAAAGATTCAAAGAATATCTAAAATGTATGTGGCCAGGAAGCTGGGAACCTTAGTGAAGCTCGTTCACATCCCACCCCCTCTCCACCGCTCCGCCACAACTCCTTCAAGTTTGCCTTATACATTCTATGAAAACGTATACATTGACTCACAAATGTTTTTGCTGTGACAGACTAAGCCTTGATTTTTAAAAATTGCAGTACCTCACATCTTTCTGTCATTACTAATGAAAGAACAAACAAACCCGACTACCTTCTGTACCTTCAAAGAAGTTTTTCTCGAACCATCTGGAAGATCATGAAAGTTTCATCACTTGGAATATCAACTCCGCACTGAAGGTTTTGAGTACGTCTCTTCTTAATGACGTGCTTGGACATATGGGTGCACTTCAAGTCTTCGAGGTGGAAGGGTGAAGTAGTTTTGGCTAACCACCAAACCACTTTCTCTAAATCTATCTTAGTCTGTCTGTCTGTCTGTCTATCTGTCTGTCTGTCTGCATGTCTCTCTCTCTCTCTTACACACACACACACA